TTAATGTTACTGACTTTTCTGACACGTATGACTAGGTTAAAAGATTTCTATGGTACACGAGTCGGTAAAGTAGGAAAGATCATATGCAAATTGGAGTACATTCATGTTTCTTTTCTTTTAATGCATGTTACATTCCCACAAATACTCTTTAAAGTTGCACTAGTTATTACTCAATTATATGTTTAAAAAATTCCGTGTGAAACTTATGCCATGTGCGACTGAAAATGGACGCTGTATTATGCAGATTGTGGCATATGAAAGAGAATGTCTAACTGTAAAGCACACGCTGTCCGGTAACTATTTTTTAACCAGCATAAAGTAATTGGCAGTATTCTCACTAACATTATCACTATATTTTTGCTGCATTGGTGAGGATAAAAGTGCGAGGAAAGCAGTTGATTTTATTTTTCCGTGATTCATTACTCATTGACACTATTTTTAAAGGTCCCGAGTTCGAATCTAACTGCAGACAATTCTATTCAAAAAAAGACGCATACTGCGGAAGCGCTTTTATTTCATAAAGCAGTAAGTTACTTACAAAATATGAATTTGTATGTTACAAATGACCAAGAATCTTTAACAAGATGTTCAGGATCTGAGTTTCAACCACTGATATCATTCATCCGGGCAGAGACTCAATTAGATATAATAATAATATATTTGGTTTAGAACTATATACAGAGATCTGTGGTCGCCTAACACCAGGTTTTCACGGCCACAGTCCTTACATACGTAGCACTATTAGCACTACTGCTTACTACAACTATTCACTAATGCTACTCTACATGACTATTCCTTAATCCCTAATACTATTTACATAACTCTTTCGTATTGTTCTCGTGCCTTCTACCCCAGTGACAGTTCTAAATTCCTAATTTTGACCTGTCTTTTACATCTTACTTTGTACAGAAAATTCCCTACATCCCTGACCTCCGTGTCATTCGTAGTGCTTAAAATTTTCTTGAAGGCCAACTCTTCACCAACGGTGAACCACTTGTTCCTCAGGAGCTGTTCCCTCCACCTCCCGGTTTCCGTACACTTTAATAGTATGTGAATCTCGCTTTCTGTCGCCCCACATAAAGGGCATATTTTTTCATCCATGCCCCCCCTCATCCCTCTCAGCTTCCAAATACCCGCTCTGAACCATGCCCATCCCTCCCTCTCCACCCTCGTACAGCAACCAATGTAACCCTGTCTACCCAATATAACATAGAGTAGATGGTCTCTCGGCTTCGGACCGAGGAAAGCGACACGAGACTCTTGAATATAAGGTTGGGTAGACCCTAAATCTATTCTTGACTTTGTTGCGAAGAGAAAAATGCCTTCCTCTGTCCTTATTGTCAAACCCATAAAAATACTCTGTACTAACACCACAATAACACGAATCAATCAGGATAATTCAATGCAGCAAATAGGCTACAAACTCTACCAAGCAACAGTTTTACTGTATAACATATGCAGTTGATAAAGCTAAGTTAAATCTATGCTAGAAAGTGTACAAGAAACTTGATATATACTTGGGAATCACACACCGCCTTTGTACGCAACGGAGCTCTACTGGCGTGGCAGAGACGAGGTGTACGTTACAGAAGCCAACAGCAACCATCCCCGTGGCTTAATTTGTTGCAGTTCGTATCATGGAGACCAATTCTGAGCCAGGAGCAAGCAGACATGTCTTTCCCAAGGCTCGTCGTTTTCTAACCAACTAATTGGCGTCTACCAAATATGATGGAAGACTAAATAATAGCCGTGCAGCTACGGCTATCTCTTTGCTGGTGTTCTATGTCAAGCAGATCCAGTTATAAAAGAGTGTTTCATGAGATGCTTTCCTGCATTCATGGATTACAATTTCTGTCACACGGATATTAGTAATTTTCCGTTTAAATAAGCGAGTTATAAGTTGGGGGAATACATTGATGATTAATACCGAAGCTGAAAATGTTTACATTAATTATACTTGTTAAAATTATAACTGTAGATCCATTACAAAATTATTTAATGTATTCACACTTATGAATTTAAGCAGATATAAGTGAAAAAGACACGTAGCATGTACATAAGAGATGTATAAAATATCATTTACCGAACACAAAACACTGGTGAATGGAAAAATTGACGTAGTTATGACAAAAATAATACTTTTATGTGCTTGTTATAGTGACCCATAATTTAAAGCACGTACTGTCTTGGGTGCTCAAACAATGGGTTCGAATCCCACTCTAATCGTGGACGTATGTCGGCTTCTATCTGTGTGTGCTGTCCAGCATAGACAGGGCCCCTAATACAGTCCGATTCTACTTATTTTACAGAAGGATTCGCAGTTTTGAAAGCTAAATATTAATTAGAACAGACCGTGTCCCAAGAAAGAGGAATAATTTTGTGTGAATTTCTCATATAAAATAAATTAAATAGGGAATTAAAATAACAAATAATTGATTAAAAGCACGCCTACTCTATATTCTTGGAACGGCATTTTACAAAATTACTGACTGAGCCATTTAAAAAGTAAATGGAAATACATGAGAATCTAAAGAGTGAAACTATTATACACTTAGAGAAAGAGTAGATTTACTTATTGAAATAATAAATTAAATGTAAAGAAAAACAACGATTACAACACGTATTAACTTTGTTATGTTTAAGAAAGAATTTTGTGTGTACGTTAAATTCCATGTCCAACCATCTTCTTTAGAAAGTGTTATAAAACCCTCCATGTGCTATTTAAATTCGCTTTCTCGAGTCGAGTCTACATTTTACTATAATGTTACAATTGGCGTATTAATCGTCATCGTTGGAGTTACACCACTTCTCCCCTATGCCAGAAACTCTTTTTTTAAGTTCTCCTTCCAACTGTGTAAGTGTGATTTCTGTATGCCGTTTAGTTTTTATTAAATAAATTTGAAACCGCTAAGATTATTCATCGCCCTGATGACGGAGGCAGTATGACCTCCGAAACGGTGGTTAACATCGACCAGACTACACAGCGCAACGACCCAGAAGACAGAAATCTTCATCGCCCTGATGACGGAGGCAGTATGACCTCCGAAACGGTGGTTAACATCGACCAGACTACACAGCGCAACGACCCAGAAGACAGAAATCTTCATCGCCCTGATGACGGAGGCAGTATGACCTCCGAAACGGTGGTTAACATCGACCAGACTACACAGCGCAACGACCCAGAAGACAGAAATCTTCATACTCACCGCTGTGAAAACCTCAAATCTTACATTATTCATATTCTCCCGCTTTCTTCCCGCCATTTGTCCTCGTGTTTTAACTAATGTTGCGCTCCAGAGTTAACCGCCTCAAAACCATTCCTTGCTCGATGTACAGAAGAGCTGTGTTAATGTAGGAAACCGTCTATGTATTAGAGCTATACCTGCTGTATACCAACATTCCTGATGTTGCTTCTACTAAAGAATGCATCATGGCGGCACTGCGCTGACTCGGCAGTAATGTTCGATGATGAGAAAGCAGCATAAGATACGGGTGTGATGCGATTGTGGGAAAACATCACAACCAACCACGTTTTTGTGACGACATAATTCCGGATTACGATGCGACACGCAACAATGACTACTGACGCTTACAAAACTGTCACAGTCACTACGAAACCTTTCAACAATTTCCGAATAACACAAGTGAAAAATAAAGTTGTTTGTTTGCTTAACTAAGCCACATAACATGAACTGGCATTATTAACCTTAGCACTAGACAGTCTACATAACAACCCGCCCGCTTTAACCACGGAGAAGAAGTTATGTCAATATAAAAGCCGTTCTGGTCGCAGTGGCGAAAAATACCTTGTCGAACCTCGTTCATCCAGTCTGTAACTCTGTCGCTATAAGGACCTAGCACACGAGGAATACAGGTTATTTATTCAATTAATTTTCCCCTATTTACTCCGGAAGGTACGACTTATTTTAATTGAAATGAATAAGTAGTACACTGGTGTATTTTATTCTAAACGCATGGACATACACAAATGGACAGATGAAAATTTCATATCCGCCTACACTGAGCCAAAATGGGAAACCTGTACGTTTTATATTTTATTCAATGACTTCAAAAGCTAAGATTATGTAACGTCGAATGATAGGAAGATTAATGAATTAGAAATGATGCAGAGGGAAGAGGTCGTCGCTGATTTAAGTTGCTATCCCTGCATATGCCTTAGGAGGAGACAGAAGAAAGCCACATTAATCCTGTCTGGTTCAAGATTTGAAACGGGAAACACCAAAAATAAAAAAAAAATTGATAACCACTTGAGCGCAACGTTGTATGATACCTAGACTTAGGCAGGAGGATAATATTAAAATGGATCAAAGGAAATAGGTTGTGAGAATGTGGCGTTGATATAAATGGCTCAGGATGGAGACCAGTGGCGAGCTCTTGTAAGCGAGGTTTTGAACATTAATGTTCCATAAAAGCGGCTGTGAGGTCTTTGCTTCATAGGACAAATCAGTTAATCAGCCAACGAACAATGCACACCCGCGGCGTTCAAGAACAAGGAACGGGCAAATACACTTCATCAAGACTCAAACCTAGGACTACGTACAGATGCCAGTCGTAATCAGCGAAGACCCAGAAGCGGGGAGAAATATTATTGTTGAACATATCAAAGTGGCACTGCGGCAGGGTTTTCTCCGGGTCCTTCAGTTTTAACCTTCAATTTCGATCCACAGCTTTTCCATATTTACTCATATCATATAGGGGATGGACAAAGTAGCCCTTAGCGGCCCAATTCCACATACACAAAGACTCACCCTATCGCAACGATAAGATAAAACGAGTAGTTCAGAAGCAGACGCACTGACATAAGATGGAGAATCGTTAATAACTTTAATGTCATCTCCCGCTTTACATTTTTTTAATTTTTCTACAGATTCAGAAATGTAAATTTGTAATTACCGTTGTTATGAGACCATGACTGTACGAATGACCAGTCACTTGTTTCATTTATACCATTTTATTAACTGTAGCAAATGGAGACTCACCTCTTCAGATGCAGGTCAGTTGTAGGCCCAATCATTTCTTTGCCGTTTGTTCATGGCGGTTTCTCTTGAGCTGACTGGTAAACTTTGCCAACTTCTACAGATCTCGTGTTCAGCTGCAATTAATGAATTAATTATTGTTGGAATAAATTAATATAAGGAAGACAATGAATGTTGGGAAAATGCTCGTGAAATAATAAATGCATAAAGATTTGACAAACAAATCTCACGGAAAGTTTTCGCTTCAAACAGGCTACTAAATTCAAACACGTGTTTTAACGAACCTCAGTTGAGTTTCGATCTGGTATGCCTGTTAATAGATTATAGTAAGTTAGCTTATGATTTGGTCCAATGGCGAGCTTTCGAAGTAACAATAACGAGCCTTTTTGTTCCATCACACAAAGGAATTAGTTTTTTGGACGGTTATGTAGCCACTCAAGTAATCGGCCAGACAGCCAGTTACATTTATGATAGCACAATGATGTATGAAACATAATTCTCCCATGTCAAGTCTTTAGCAGTAAATCCTGTAACTGATCACAAGAAGACAGACAGACTGAATAATACAATAAATCTTCACAACCTTTCAAACATGGTTTCTTCGGAACACCCTGTTTTATTAAAAATTTATATATATCTTTAAGATTCACTGTGTCAATGGTACAGCGTCGATATTTCAACACACAGTTTAATGAAACGTGTAATTTACTCTGTACACCACAAAATTCTTTGAAGTTACGTCCAAGATCCGTCAGTCTCGAAGGCAATGCATGTCAGTGTAGTTGTAACATACCGCACAGCATTGAAAGGTTAAAATAATTTTTCGGGATGGAAATTCTAATTGGGTTAAATCGAAAATTAACATTTCTTAATTTCGCGTCCGAAGACATAAGTATTACAAAAAACTTTACAAATCTTAGACGCTGCTTTCTTCAATTCAAAATTTTAATAAAATTTATACACCATGGTTCTGTGGGAGTGAGGTAATAATTTCAACTATGGACACTGTCATTTTTAAGAAGCTAGTAGTGGCTCAGTTATTTACGAATTTACCGTCTTTCACAAAACCGAAGATTCATTAAATTGCTCATATTAGCCTGCCACTGGATCCAGTACTGTACCAGATGAAGCCAGTCCACACCCAAGAAATAGTTTCTGAAAATCCATTGTAATATTATGCTGCCCGGGTCTTCGAAGTGGTCTGTTAACTTCAGAGTTTTCGTCTAGAATTTTGTATAACCTACGTATTTTATATTTGTGTAGGAAATTCCGATTACTTATAATGCTCTAAAAGATGATATATTATTAACAGTTGGTTTCATGTTGGCCATTAAGACTTTTTACGTTCGTTTCTATCGTATACCATTTTATGAGAGTTTCCGCCATTGAATCTCAATCCTTGGCTGTGTTCGTCGAGGTAATTAGTGTTTATCGGTGAGATTTATGACAACTAAGAGAAGACAAGAACTTAAATGATTAAACTGTTCCGTGACATGTAGCTTAAAGTAGGTAACTTGACTCACTGCAATCTTTGCAGGTAATGAAAATAAAAAAAGAACGCGCAAAAATATGACTTTGTCCCATAAAGGGACAGGCTGGATATGATTTATGAAAGCCATTTCTTGTGTTGTTGTGTCTTAATCTAAGTAACTGTCTAATACGCACTATTTACTCTATTTTTCACTTATTTTAACATTCAGTTACTCCACATTTTGCCTACGGAATGTATTTAAAAATTCATGTCATTTTCAGAATAAACAGCGATTATTTTCCTAAAGAACATTAACAAACCGATATTTGTAATGGAAAAGTGTTGTTTTTTTCATTGGGGCAAGCACTTAACTTCATATATTACTTAGATTCTGTTCGATGTAGTTAGTTACATCACTGGAAGAAACCGACCTTTTATGTACGAGCAACAGGTTTCTTGTCTTCCTCATTTACACCCCATTTGATTAATCCATATAAACGCAGGGGTAACACAGGCGACGTTTAAAGCTTTCTTTAGCAGTGGGTCACTCTTAAATACTGAACAAACTGCATGGGGAAGGCTGTACTAAACAGCGTACTTCCAGAGCCCGATACAAATATTTCAGACCTCAATGTATCTGTTACTTCACTAATAAACTATTTAACTATAATAATAATAATTAAGTGGTGAATAGATGGAATAATAATACCAAATGACAGGAATGTAATTACGAAGAAAGCGGAGAAGATCTTGAAATACACCGAATGTGGAAAGTGAAAGCAAAAGTAATTCCAATAATTATAGGAGCAACTGGAACTCTCTTCAAATCACTTAGAAAATATTTGGCCAACATTCCGGGCGAACACAACATCAAGGAACTGCAGAGAACTGCCATTTTAGGATCTTCATACATCATTCGAAAGACGCTGTCGTAACATATGTAGTCAGCTCTAATAATAAAACTATGTAATACAAATAACACGTATTAAAAACAAAATATATTTCTGAAATAGCTGCTGCATTATGTACCTTAGGGACAAGGTCTGTCTCAGGTACATGGAAGTACATACCCTATAAAGTGGTGAATAGATTGGATAATAATAATAATGAAAGTGTATCCTGAATTACATTTTAACAATTTCAGTTGGCACCACATTAAATATTTTCAAGACGAGTTTCTTGACGCACACACGATCAACTTTCTTTTTTGTTCAAATAATTTCTTCGCATTACTTTGAAAGAAATTTGTGTAATAATGTACATATAATTTTACATATCGTTGTACGTAACTTCACAGTACTCTCAAAAGTTTAATATTAAGTAATAACAAACTTTCGAGGATTTATATAAGTTCTTCCAGTGGTTAAACTGCCACACATTATTTATAGATGACAGATTTATACGAGGCTCGAGAGCCTGTCTGGGAAGCAGTTTACATGTAAAATCAATGTATGTTCTAGTCTCTGATTTTGCAACCACACAAATCACGATACTGTTGTAAAAAACATAGAAGTTAAATGAGAGTGTAAGGTTAACGTTAAAGTACCAAGAATTTTTTTTCTTTTGAAATAGTACTATGAACTATAAAGACAGCATCTAACAGAGTTTCAATGACCACAGAGCATGTAAGATGCCACACACTAAAAAATTGCATGTAAAAACAACAAATGGAATAACCAGGTATTCATTAAACTGAAACAGTACACTGGCATCATTACCTTTGTCAGAGCTGGCCTCGTTTCATTATGACTGGCGATACAGACTTTCGTGTGTACGGAATCAGATTGTGTAGAACGAAGCATTGCGTATGTCAAATGTTTCTTGTCGTTCTTGTTTTTGCCTGCAGATGGCATTAAAACCGCACGCTGTTAATGACAAGACCAACACAGCAGATTGCAATAAGTAAGTGGATAGAAATAAAATTCAAGCATCTACCTTGTGTATTTCCTACAAACAGGCGAATAAGCGCTAGTATTTATTCACCTTGAATTCCTTAAAGTTTTGTTTATTTCCTTAATTGCGTGGGAAAAATAAATATTTTTTATAGATTCTTCCTGTTTTGGAGCCACACAAACGAGATTAAATGATCACTTTGGTAATATTTGGAGCGACGAAAATGTTGGTTTATTGATTCATATAACTCATCGCAAGCTTCATTGACCGTGAGGCCTACAAGTTGAACGGTCAATTATTTATAAACTTGGAAAAAATGAGGTGGAATGAAGTGGTCATAGAGGTCTTAGGGGTATTTATATATAATAGTTGCGATAATGAACATATATTTTTCGACTTGTCTGTCCGCATAAGTTCAGAGACACTAGGATTTACATAAAATTTTATAATGGAATTTTACTAAAACTTATCTAAGCGTCGTAAGACCTATCGATACCTTCTCAAGACTGCATAATACAGCAATGAGAGGGCACAATCGCACTTCGAAAAAATTAGAACCCACGAATACAGTGATTGGCCACTACGAAATGAAATTTAATTGACCTGAATTTTATCAAGTGAAGGTAATGGATACCCTCAGCTCGGCATAAGACAGAAGTTGTGACAGAACAGGGCTACTGTTTTGCAGGTTTTAGTGAAGTGGTAGACGGATAACAGCATTTAAATTATGGTCTAACAGGCAAAAATCGAAGTAGCTGATGATAAATTTGTTCAGCACATTTTTTTGTAAGTAAGGACTGCGTGGATTACCCGAATATTGAACCCGGACTTTTCAGCTGGTAAACGAACTTCGAAATGTAAAATATAAATTCATATATTTTATTCAGTACATGAAATGCAAATAATTCAAAATGATACTTCTTCGAAGTTAAAGTGGATATCACTGATTCTTAAAACCACCCTCACAACACGGGTTTCCTGATTCCAGTAATTCTGAATTTTCAACTGAATTCGTCAACATAATAACAGTGGGTCTATTAAACAGAATTAAACAATTCGTAACTGCTGCTAATGTTAGCAATTTTATAACAGAGAACTCGGTGTCCACTAATTTGGACGCAAGCGAAGTCTGCGTTTTTGTTGACTCAGATGCTATGATCACACAGACAAGAGACCGGAGTAGCCCCATCGTTAAGGAAGGTGAGTTGCTGGTTTTTGGGAGGTCCTCGCCTTCTCCTCGGCCGTTTTCACAC